ACATTGCTGTTAAACTGCTCATCCGTGTAATACTTGCAGTTATTTTCAGAGTTCTTGAAAAAGTTTTTTTCAGGGTCAAAGCCATCGTCCGGTTCATGATAATGAATTTCAGTGTCTCCATATGTGTTCAGTTCCAGATCCAGTCCCTCAAAAACTATTAACTTCTGTAACAAATCACTTGCCTCATATCGTCCATGGGTCATGCTTGTTGTTGTTGGTTCCAGAGCCAATCTGCCATCGCAGATATCAATATACCTGCATGTTTCTTCACACCGCTGAGGGTCCAGCGGCCCCTTCATACTCTCCTTGCCTTGGCGAGCTGGTCATGGGTCCAGGATTCTGGTTCCGAGGTCGGGTCACTAATTTGTCGGATCGCAGAAACGCGATTTCTCCTCTCGCCCTAGCCTCTCAACATCGGCATCAACTCTCTTCTTCTCTTCCTCACAGACTCGGGGTAATCTTCGTTGATGTAAATATTAGTTCCCTTAAGCTTCTTTGCTTGCTGCAGAATGTTTGCCTTATCGTTCTCGTTCATCAACTTGACCAACACCGCTCTTGGTCCACGATCAGAAAGTTTCCCGACTCTGTAAACCCGTTCCATCTCTATTTCTTGATGAATTTGCAGTTTGTCCTTTAAAATCTCCTTCACCTTCCGTTCCGCTTCCGTCCAGCTTTCTCCAGCTGTCTCCTTGATTCCCTCGAAGATCAGGTTTTTTTGCTTGGACTGTGCCCCACGGCTGCTTTAATCACATCCACATCTCGTTGGGTAAACTGCAAACTCGTTTTTATCTCCTGTATTTCTCTGGTCATGTCGTCTAGTCTTTTGTCGTTTGTCTCCATAATTAGTTTCACAAAGCCTTGGAAGCTTTCTTGCTGTTGGCACATTAGTGTGGTGTACATCAGCTTCTGCTGATTCAACATCTCAGCTACTTGCGCCGCTGAAATAGAATCCTCTTCCGCCTCAACATCCTCGTTCGCTTCTGGTTTATTAGCTCTTTTCCCTCTTGGAGGCATTTTAATAGTTGTAGAATTTGTTCAAAGACTTGAAAATGTAGAAGATGTGAAAAATCATAGAACAGACAAGAGTAGCAGTAAAGACGTCTGCTCTCGCTGCAACCCGGAAACAGGTTTTCTTCACTAATTATCAATCAAATATCAAACTGGCCAGCTTCTTCTTTGCTGACACCCTGTAGCTGAGGCCATCTGGAACTGGAATTTTAATTCTCAGTAGAAGAAAACTGCCTTTAGATCTTGGACAAATTGTGCTTGCCAACTTTATAGATTTCACTCTAAGGAAAATCTTTCATGAAAGGAGTCAAGCTAGAAGAGCAAGGGCAGTGCGAAACACAGCAGTGGAAAAAATAAATATATGTTAGTGTCCTAATACTTTCTTGTTCTCTTAAGCCATACATTAAGTCAAATCTCTGATTCCATTGCAGGTTGATTCAGATGATGACCGTGTGGGAGACAAGTGTGATAGTAACCAAGATATTGATGAGGATGGACACCAGAACAACCTGGACAACTGCCCATACATTCCCAACGCCAACCAGGCTGACCATGACAAGGACGGCAGAGGAGACGCGTGTGACTATGATGACGATAATGACGGTAGCTGGACTCTGATGGTAAGCAAAAGGCCATGGTTTCAACCCTGAAATACGCAGGTCGTCTTAAACAGTTCACAGCATGTCTAAAGGTCTTTGAAACCTTTTGGGTGTTATTAGTAATGAATATGTAAAATATATTTTTCAGGTGATGGCCGTGGAGATGCTTGCAAAGATGACTTTGACCAAGACAACGTGCCTGACATCTATGATGTGTGCCCTGAAAACTTCGATATTAGTGAGACAGACTTCCGGAAGTTCCAGATGGTTCCTTTGGACCCCAAAGGCACCTCCCAGATTGATCCTAACTGGGTTGTCCGACATCAGGGCAAAGAGCTGGTTCAGACTGTCAACTGCGACCCTGGCATTGCTGTTGGTGAGTGAGAGATGATGTGCGAATGTCAACGCAATGCGAATAATTTTCCAGTGGTTTGCTTACAGAATCATAAATACAGTTTTTTGAGTACAGTTATCTAACTAGATGTATTTTTTTTTTACTTCATCAGGGTACCACGAGTTCAATGCAGTGGACTTCAGTGGGACTTTCTTCATCAACACAGATAGGGATGATGATTATGCTGGCTTTGTGTTTGGCTACCAGTCCAGCTCCAGGTTCTATGTTGTGATGTGGAAGCAGATAACACAGACCTACTGGTCAAATAAACCCACCAAGGCTCAGGGGTACTCTGGCCTGTCCATTAAAGTAGTTAACTCCACCACTGGCCCAGGAGAGCACCTGAGAAATGCCCTGTGGCACACCGGAAATACCCCAGGACAGGTGAGACATTTGGTGGACTTTTGGAAGTTCTATCTCCTTGTGGGTGTTTTTAATAAGTGACCAGGAATATGTTCAAAAGAAAAATCCATGGCTGTTTATTTCTCCATGCTTTAGGTCCGCACTCTCTGGCATGACCCTAAGAATGTTGGGTGGAAAGACTTCACTGCCTACAGATGGCATCTGATCCACAGACCGAGAACAGGGCTTATTAGGTTGGCACATCACAGAAATCAGTCCACATAGAAGTCACTCTTCACATGGGCTTGATATCAGAACTCTTCACTTTTATTTTTTCTTCATTCCCACAGAGTTGTTATGTATGAGGGCAAGAAGATCATGGCAGATTCTGGGAGCATCTATGACAAGACTTATGCTGGTGGTAGGCTAGGTCTTTTTGTCTTCTCACAAGAGATGGTATACTTCTCAGATCTCAAGTACGAATGCAGAGGTAAGGATTTATGTCAAATCAGCTAAAATGTGTAAAAGCAGTTTCCAAACAAGCATTTGAATTTCTGTTCTTTAACTCAATGTCCCTGAGGTAGCCATATCTAACTTAGACTATGTCTCGTTCTTTTATCAGATGCATAAATGCACGGCGCAGGAAGCTCTGGTGAATGCACCTTCTTGTAAAGTATGCAAATATGTATTCTGAAACAAAGTCCAGGGACCGATTTATCTCCGCAACTCTTTCTTCTGCGGCCTGCACACTTGGACATGGCGAAGGGCATGTGGTCAGCCTCTGGGTAACTTGAAGCTGGTTCAGACAAGCACGAACCAGCTGACTGCCAGCTGGGGATCAGAGAGCCCCTTCACCTCCACCCTTAGCATCCAGGAGAGGAAGGAGACCTGGGGAAAAATAAAAACAAGCCCCCTAGCATTGCCAGTAGGACACCAACACCCTTCCATCCCATCTCTGCCTGCTTTCTAGCTCTCTAAAAGACCTCATTCATCTCTGTGTGGGAACAGTTCCCCATAGACAACTATGCACGTCCAAGCCTTTGCATCTCTCTCTGTGTTTCAGTCTCACTTCTCCAGCCTGTGTGCCTTTCTCCCTGACTTTATGGATGGACATCCCAAAGAAAAAAACTGATGGAATTTTCCTTTTGCTTTCCCAATCTGCCAGGATGCAGATTCTAAATGATGCAACTCAAAGACTGAAGACAGCAAAAACATTTTTAGGAAACATTGTCATTGAGGATTTGCAACTTAAGAAAACTATTGGGGCTGGCATGAGTTAGAAATAAATGCATGCATTGTATGTGGATTCTGGTCATGAATGGAACATCTACCTAAGGATCTCTGTAGCGAAGAGCTGTGCAGAAGAGAAATACAAAATTGAATCTAGACTAGCTATCATTCGAACATACAAATATTGTGCGCTTTGTTGGTTTTGTCTGGCTAACCAAACAACTCTCAGGGTGAAACAGAAGTGACGACCTACCCATATCAACACAATAAGAAAAAGTATGAGAATTACATTTTTTTTTTTTTATAAAACTTCTAGCGTGATCTCAAAGCCATAATTCCCTCCAGGAAAAAAAAAGACCCTGAAGAGATGCATCTTCCTCGATGTTTGAGGATTTCAGTTCAAAGTTATGTAAATACTTGTAATTTATTGAGTCTTGCCTACAGTGTAGGCAGCAAAAGAAATTTGAGTGCTTTGAAAAAGTTTTTTAAAACCCATTAAATACCACAGTGAAAAGTGACCCAAAATCAGGTGCAGTTATTTGTCAGATTTGCACGATACATACTCATCAGTGTCTACGATCCTCCACAGCACAAAGTGAATTTGGTATTCTTTGGATATTTAGCATGAAGCATGTATAACTTGTGTGTCTTTTCTTCAGAGAGAGATGAAAAACAAAGGAAATCTTTCATGTACAAATATTACCTCACTGCTGTTGTATAATTTGATCAAACAAAACCACAACCTTAATACTTTTAATATTCCTTTGTAATGATGGACATCTTAGTGCTACTGTAGCATGAGCTGTAAATAGTGTGACATTTCATATAAAACACAGCCAAGCTCCCAATTCTATGATCTACTCCAGTGAAATGAAAGCAAAATGGGAGATTTCTTTTTTATAAATAATTTTGCTTTATCATATATGTCCAATGCTGTTCTTAGCTGATAAATTATTGTTCTGTTTTGTTTTAGTCACCTGTGAGAGGCTGATTTGTGTATGTGTGTAGATAAATGCTATTTAAATAATTTATCAGGATTTGGTGCCTTGCCAAAGGGCACGTGTCCATCTGTATAAACGGTTTGCACACTGATGCGAGGATGTTCTGTTCTTTATCATTTTTACCTTCTTCTGTTGTGTATCATTGTTACTATTGTTGTTGTACAATTAGTTTTGCTTGTCTGTAAACATTTTCTTAGTTGTACAAAGCAAAAGCGCTGTTTTTATTCACAGTGATTATTTTGTTACATACTTCAAGACAATAAATAGTTGTTAACATTTTCCTGTCTACACTCTTGTTTGTAAGATTTTAACTATTTTACAGTTGTTCATCCAGGTTTAAGTCCATTACTGATCAAGTCTATTACTTGTTTAGATAATGTGGAACCACAAATATGTTTTACATTCCGTTCAAGGAGATGATACAACCTGCACACCCTGCAGCTGTCTCACAGTGATACAGTGATGTATCAGTGACAAACCAAAGCTGAAAAAGATCCACACAATTACTTCCAACACCTTTCGAGATTCAGCTACAAGCAACTATTGTGGTAAAATGATATAGATATATATTTCAACCTTGACGTGCTGTGACTAATGCAGAGCACCGATGAATGGAACAAAGGCCAGTCACCCTGGAGTTACAACGGCTTTATTCAGCTCCTGTAATCCACCCGAGGAAGTGGTGAGTCTGCGCTTCCTTTGCAGAACCCGATGCCTAAAATGGCCTCAAACTTCAAACTTCAAACCTGAACTGCGACATTTGATCCTCCCTCCACATTTAGTCTGCCGTCCTTGTGCTTCATGCTGCTGTGTACTGAGGTGTTGGGTTAGGGTTAGTTTGTAATGTTAAGGACTTCAGTGGAGGACGCCCCATTGAATACACTGAATACCCACAATCTACCTCTGTAAGCAGAGGAGCTGTTGGACACCACCTGTACATACAGTATTTGAGATTTTCTTGAACAATAAAGACTTTCTGAAAATAAATCTGGTTTGTGGTTTGGCTTTTCTTACTTTAATCATATTACCTGGATGTGTAGCACTTGCTAGTGCGCTCTACCACTCTTAAGAACAAAACGCTGCAGGAGGTATAATTGTAAAAAAAAAATCATCACTTTAATCAAACCACCAGTTATGTAACATGTTAAATCATCTGTGATGCCGCCTTGGTTTTTGCTGTTATCCCTAAATGCTGGCTGAAGTATCCATACAGACCTAATGTTCCTACGAGTTACCTGCTCTCTCGTCACTTTTAGAATACCTTTGTGATTCACACAAGGTCACAAAAGATTATTATTGGTCAACCTGACTATTATTTCTTCAGTTAAATTACTTGTTATAAAATAAGAAAAAGTGAAAACACTCCACACCATGACTTGTGAAGAAAAATATCTAATGCCAGTGTATCATATTCCATAGCTAGAAGGGAGTTGAGCGTCTATTCGTGCATACTAACATTAAACCACACCATGGTTGTATAGTTTCGCCAACCAGTCAAGTTCACGGGAATGGGACAGAGGTCACACTGACCTTGACCTTTGACCACCAAAATCTAAGCAGTTTATCCTTAAGTTCAAATGGATGTTGGTACCAAATTTGAAAAAGCCTTCAAGGTGTTTGAGATATCATGTTCACAAGAATGGGACTGACAGACGTATAAAGATCTAACTAGAAAATATCTAGTATTTTTACGAACTCAATGACTTCAGTAATTAATGAATAATAAAAATTGTTAAAAGAAATAAGATCCTAAATCTAATTGACTGTGATTAACCACAAGTTTCACTCTACATTCTGATGTTTCAGTCCTGTGGGTAGCCGTGTGTTCATGTAACACCAGACTTAGGTAAATTGATTGAATCTAGTTTGATTTTCATGGACACCATTCTGCTACAACCCTACATTGGGATTTGACAAAGATATATATATATATCACATAAACACTAATCTTGGCAAAAAAAATGTAAATCCCCTCTAAGTCCTCATAAAATAATCCACACATGGTTCCTGTAATTGTTGCCAGTCATGATGGCATTCCT